CTCATGCTTGTGAAAGAATGAATTTAAAGTAATGTCTTCATACGTGACGCAAAGCCTTACTGAGCTACCACCTTACCACCTTCTCTTCTCACACCTTATTACCTCCCTTACTATTCTCTTGGATACAAATATTTGGCAAACTGTAATCTAATTCAAATTACAAAGGTACTATAGTGACATAAGACTACCTAAAGGGGCTATAATAGATTCCTATGACCTGAAACTTCCAAGAGCAGGAGGGCTCATACACTGTGGGAATATTTTTTAGTTGTTGACTTGCCTTTGGTGGAAAAGGTGAAGAGAAGGTGCAGATGCTGTTTACGATGGCTTTGGTGACTTTTACCAAAGGCAAAAAGTTTGTCAGACACACGCAGAGTACTGATCACGCCGGCATCCTGCCACACACACTGGCCAGGCAGGTTCCTTGCAGATAACTGAAGCTCTGAGATCCTGAGATCTGACTTGGCTCCCACAGCAACTCTGCTGGCTGAGGGCTGAAAATCATACCAAAGAGGGTCCATGGATTGGCCTGAGGGTCAAAAGGAAACAAGACGACCACACACTAATCCATCCAAGCAGCTCGCAGTCATCGCTATTGGCCTGCCTTTAGCTCCAGCTTTGGTGACACATTTATGGTCCTGTTCAGAGTTTGGAGTGGAACATGCTCCTACCCAGTCCTGTTGGCTGGCCTGGTGGCACAGCCAGCCCAGAAAGGGGCACGTGGGGTACTCCTTTGTGCTGCTGAGTTTCCATCGTGCCAGACTGGGCAGAAAAGCAGTGGAATACAGCACGAGTGCATCAGTTACCCTACCTCAAAAACTCTAGCACTCTAGCTCTAAGGGTACCCAGACTGTACGCAGAGGGGCAACTGGGCCTCGCTGTCATGTCACTCCTAATGCTCCACGAGGCAAAAAGCTTACACACAGGCAAGAAATCTGGCTGCCACGCTGCCATGACAGTGTACCTGCCTCTCCACTTCTACCTATGAAATTTGGGTAGCAACATTACCTTACCTCGAAAAGCATTTTGAGGTAAACAATGAACATTAAGAACGGCAAGGTGTTCATATATGCAGGAATGGGACAGATCATTTCCCTAAATGAAGGGATGAAGAGATTTAAAATTTGTGTTATGATAATTACAAAGATATATGACAAAGATAATATTCTTTTAAAAATTGCCAGAAGCAATGAAGGGGGAGCAATACTTGGCTGCTTTGCTTACTCTCAGTAAAATTACAACTGCTCTCTGCAAAAGTTGAGAAATATATTTTGTCCAAGATTTAGGCTCTGTTTTTCTTTAACAGAATTATAAATAGACTATGATTTTATTTGTGACGTTTTAATTTCCAATTACATCCAGTGGTTTACATCTTGCATATGCTGGAATTCAGCTTCAAGCAACTTTATCATGTGATTGTTGCAAAGTCACCAAGTTCCCCTTTGGCTGTCAGAGTAGGACCTACTAAAATCTATAATTATTTCAGCATTTATTGGAATTTGCTATTAGAGAGAAAAGGTCAAATGTGCTCACAGGAAGGCTGGGCCAATTTAACTTTCTGGCTTGAACCTCTCTCGCATGCAACAAGGGACCCCATTCTCCACCCATTCCTGTCAGGCAGGATGAATCAGAGCAGCAACATCTGTTTTAGAGGAGAAATTTCTGATAGTCATTTAACGTATTGTAAAATGTTTGCTCTTCCTCCCAAACGTATTTGAAAGGGCAACTCACTATTCAGGGAGGAGCGGGGAGTATGCAGACACAGTACCTGCTCCGAGTGCGCTGTCACCACTGCAGACAGCATTCTCAAACCATTCTACCACACGACACTCCTCTTTTAGGGACAGTTCTCAAAAAAATTGGCACCAGTACTTATTACCCCTGTCTCACTGGGAAAAATTGATTGCACTGTTTTAAATAGCAAGTTTACTGCAGTAATTGAGAACCCTCAATCACCCTATGAATTTGTACTCTTTCTGCCCTTTCTTCATTTGTTTGGAGGGATCCATTCTACGAGAAGGAAGAAAAATCATCTCTCCTCTCCACATGGGCCACAAAGAAAGTCTTGGTCTCCCAAAAGGGAAAACCTTTCCTCTCAAGTACTGAAAGAAAAGGTCTGTACCAGAGAAGAGAATTTTTCCTCTCAAAGAAAAAAAAAAGTTACTCACCAGAATCAGCAGTTGCTGCTATAGACTCACGAGATCTAATCTTCTCCCTATTACTAAGTTGCACATTAGAGATCTGCAAATTTGAAGGGTATCATTCATAATGGGAGAGAATGATCAATCATGGTATAGAGACAAGTAATCCATCCAAGCATCCAGCTTGCTTTCTAAGGGCACCTCCTCCTGTCCCGCAGAAACATAAACAAATGCAGGAAATATTTATCTTGCAGAAGAGCACTGAGACAAATAACCACTTGTGACGATGGGGAACCTCTGACACTACTAAAAGAGGAGGTGTGGGGAAAGGCAGCAAAAATGGATTAGATAAGGTACCCTGAATGCTTAATCAGTATTTGTATTATTAATGTTATAGAGTCTCCTTAAAAAGTATCTCTATGCATGATTCATCAAGGACTATCAAGAAGTTGTACAGACAACACTTACTAAATTGCTATGAACACACGAAAAAGTTGCTCCCCAGGGAGCATAACTTGCATTAAAAATGTCATTAGCAGAGACTAATTCAACCGAGTAGGAAAGAAAACCTAATGTAGGAAAGCAACACACGTGGAGTTAATAGTCTCAGATACTGTTTAATAACATCTCATTTGCAATTCTCAGAAATGACCAGAGTTAGTAAAAGCATAAAGAAAAAAATCTGGAGTAATTCAGGGAAATGGAAGAACACCGAAGAACCTCAAAAAATAGCTTTCAGCAATTCATTTGCACATACTGGCACCCTGATGAACTTCACTTAACAAGGCAGTACTGTGGAGGTGGAGTATTGCAAGTTAGTTGCTTGGCTTCTGCAGCCAAAACATGACTCAGGCTGACCTCTTCTCCCCCTTTTAAGACAACAGCCAGTGCAAAAAATTGATGTTAAACACATTAAGCTTCCCTTTCTTGTGGTTACAAAGGCGTAAACAGATTTTGAAATTTTTAATCAAGAGCTGAATCCTTTCCTTCGCAAGCCTACAACTTATTTCCATTTTAAAACCTAAGCAGTGCTTTAAGAGGATATAGAACTAAGAAAAACGATTCAAAAAGCACATCTTTCATGAAGGTGACAAATACAAGCAGAGCAGCCTTGGGGAAAAACTCTGAATACCGGAAACACAAAGGAAGGTCTGGAAGGTCAAGAGTAAGGATGTGATTTCTATCAGTCAACAATCTAATTTTCCAGCAATTGGTTTTGGCTAGGAACTGGTTGTATCATACGTAGTAAGAGGCTAAAAACGCCCCTGGCAGACTAATGGTAGTCCAATGGCAGCTCTTCTCTAGCAAGGGGAGAGGCAGGTTCAGCGACAAGGAGGAAGTCCATAGCATGCTATTATCTGTTGTTATTTAAGAAAACACTGTTACCATTTATTCTTTCTGTACTGTACCCCTTGTGTGCTTACTTGTGTCTGTGAATTTCTCTTTGAAAAGACCGCAATTTTACTGTCAAAACCTGATCAAGAATTTCTTCCCATCTGTTCTTCTTTCTTCCTTATTTCTTCAATAAGGAAGCTTCCGAGTCACAGCCTTGCATTAAAGATCTGGTGGCCAGTCACAAGCAGAAAAGCTTCCTGAAAAGTCTGTTGTTTATGGAAGAGCTGTCCAGAGAAGATGATACCGTGGCTTCTGTAGGAATCGATTCAGGTAGAAGTAAGGTAGTACAAGCAACGGAAGCTCAAAATGCAGTTAGGAAATATTACAAATATTTGTACATATTTTTATATATAACCATATCAACAAGAGCTTTAAAATACAAGTTCTTATATAATTGCTAAGAGCTAAGTTCTAGTTCCCAAAAATTAACAGACACCTGACTACTGACATAAGAAGAGGTCAGAAGTTCATCTGAAATAAGCTTCATTGCAAGATGTCTCTCAGACACATTTCTCCTAAGGATTTCGGAAAACACGTGATTCAAATGAACCCAGAAAGATTTCACTGTAACGAATGAACTAATATTGTAACTACATGATTAAGTTATGAGCTTATGCGTCTGAGAATGAACTGGAGGGGAAAAAAGTGAGACCAAAAAAAATAGAGGACTTGGAGGGATTCCTGAAATTATGAGTTCTTTTCACAAATAGCCAGAACACTCTGTAGGTCAGAGTACCAGGAGTTTCAAACTTTCCTCTTCATCCTTATGCACCAGCACTGTTCCTTCTGTGAGGATTTAGTCAGTGATGAAAACTTTAAATATCTTTACTCGGAATAGCACAGGGTTTTTGTGTTATGCAGAAAAACAAAAGTTGGTAAAAGCAGGTGAAATGGTAACAGTTCCAGATTTGTACCAACTAAGCTAACTTGGGAATACTAAATATCATACTTCATGGCAGGGGAGGCACACTGCGTGTTTCAACTTCTCAGCAAGAAAGTGACAATTTTCTACTTGACCCTCACCTGAAATTTCTTGGGGCCTCAAACTAAGGAAGCTAATTTGAAAGAATAAACTGTCTTTTCAAGAAGCATCGAAGAAGCAATTCTATTTTCAAAAGCATTTATATATGCTTTTCACTGTCACTTGACACTTACTAAATGTAACAAGAACTATATATACATATATAACATTCAACTGCAAGGAGAACAACGTTTTGTTTACATCAAATTCAAACTTCTAAAGCAACACAGCACCTGTCAGACCAGTCCCAAAAACGTGCGCGTCTGATGTAACATTACTCTGTCATATATAGTTATATTTGCATACTTTAGTGGAGAAGAAAACTTTAAGAAAAGGAATTCTTAAATATCCCAATGATATTTTTTATTTTTAAAGTCTTGTACATTACACAGCTGAAAGGCATGATTATAAAAACAACAAAAACAAATTGCTTTCTTCCTCTATCCCTTCTTTTTTTTTTTTTTTTTTTTTTAAATCACAGAAGAAGAGTTTAAGAGCTGAGCAACTTACCCAGGGCTGACAGTACTCAGAGCATCAGAGGCCTCAGCAATACTAGGTATCCCATAAATCTAATTCTCAGAGTAGAGCACCTCAGATGACACTGTGCACAGGGGTCCAAATAAAGTTTTATCATTTATCCTTCCAGATTGCTTTTCTGTTCCACATTACCTGATTAACTTATTTACAGTTTTGAGCTGCCTCATTTTCTCTGCCCCATTCTGTATTTTCTACAACACAGCAACTGCAGAGACCCTTTTGAGTCTCCTCTTTTCCCAAAGCAAAGCCAGACGTCATGGAAAATCCACCAGATCGTATGTCTTCTCAACATCTACATGTAAAGTTATCAGATCTTCAATAAAGGCAGTTTTTTCTTCAGAGCAATAACAAACAGCTTTTGTGAGAAAAGTGAAGAGCCAGTATGTTCAACACGATACTCCAATGCAATTCTTTCGGAGATTAAAATACAATATTAATGCTTGCTACAATAGTATTTATATATAGTCAGTTGGCTCAATCAATAGGAAAAAGTGATTTATTGCAAAGAGTGGATTTCAGACAAACAGGTATTTAGAAGTCCAGTTTGTAATGATTTTATTCAGACAAAACAAAAAAATTTAATGTTTTCATGCAACATTTGCACTTGAATCTTAAATAATTATGACAAATAGCAGAAGTAGTTAAGGAATGCACTAATTATAGACCTTAGTGAATATACAAAAAAACTCAACATTATAGGTTATACAAAGTAAAGAACATCTTAAATACTTTCCCAAAATACTGCAGCAGCCGAGACAGTGATATGCCTTACAAGGGCATAGGAATGTAATTTAGAAATCACACGGGAACTACCCATTTCCTTTAATTTCACTGAGCAAGACAAAAGCAACATTCAACTCCACACAGATTTTTCACATGATATCTATACAGTACCTTGAGTTTTATCCAAATAGTAAAAGTTAGACATGTCGTTTATTTAGTAAACAATTATGTGGTAAACCTCTATTACATTTTTCCTTGTTTTTACCTGGAGTAGCCATGTTATTTAAAAGAGGGTAGATTTGGCACTTTTATACTGATGTCACCAATATTAATATTTCTCGGGATCTCGGGCAGATTCATATTCTTTACAGCAGAAACAGCTCGGGCTGGAGCTCCTGCTAAACCAGCCTGTATATAAAGCGAAGAAGAAAAACACAAGTCAGGCAAAGCTGGTTACAAGAAGAATCGCTAGCAGGTACACAGACAACTAACTTTTAAAGTAATTTCATGGCTACACAATTAGAAAGACCAGATGATAATTTTGTTTGGGATGAAATGAGTTATTTTGAAATATTAAACCAGAAAGAGAAAACAGTTCACACATTTCTTTTTATATGGTGAAACATGTAATGTTAACTTGATGGAAAAGTATGCAGGGAGGAATAGGGGGTTTATCCAAGAGCGTGTAATACGTAGGTTATAAAACAACCCGAGGTATTTAGAGGCCAATAGGCTGTCCTTTGCCTCTCACCTATTCTAACAGTTTACACGGCACACAGCAGACTAACTTTGGTTACAGGTTCAGAATAAGTTACTGAATGTCAGTTGAACCGTATTACTTCTCTAAATGCATGCAAATATGAGGTAACTCAAGCTGGCTTAGCCTGGAATGAAAAGGCTAAACATCTTGCGTTTGGGGGTGACAAAGAGCATGCACAAAGATAAATGCTACAGACCAACTGAAGTGCAGTAATCTGCTGTCCTGCGGTATCTAAATATGAACTAACGTATCTACAGGCCCTGGGCACGCTAGAACATTACATAATGATATGGTTATGCCAAATCGAACATTAAAGTTCCTGTTCTGTGTTAAATTCCTCTACCGGAGTCTTTCTCGGCATTTAAAGCCACAGCTCTGTTTTATAAACACTTCTGTATTGTTAAACTTATGTAAGTTTTTAATCACTGACTTCCAAGATAAAATACTTCTGCCTTTCAAGATAAAATAACTGCCAAGTTTACACGTTAGGGTTTATTTCTGAAATGCTAACAAAAATGATTTGCTTTGCAACTCAGAAGTCTGAAAACATACTATACTTTTTAAAATCTCTCTTACTTTAAGGGCTGTTTAAAAAAGCCAAATAATTAAGTTGTTACCGTATTTGCTACTACATAGAAAAAAAAAATCGCATTTGTTATAAACAAGGCAAAGTTTCTCCTAAAATGTCAGATTCACTAAATATATTTAGAATTGCCTGTGTGGCTTTATTTCAGGCTTGTCACACAACAAGAGAAAAAAAAAATAGAAAAAAAACTTTTGTGTTCTTGCTGAAAAACGTATTTTAAAGCCTGGTAGGTTTTGAAAACAAAGCCTATAGTTTGCAGAAAAATACCTCATATTCCCAATTCCATGAATATATGAAAAAAATAGGTACTTTTTATTTGGATGTCTTAAAAGCAGCATTAACAATATTTGCAAAAGAATAGTTATGAAAATTACTGTTGTGATCAAGCGTGGCATCTTGTAGACCCAGGAAAAACTAACAATCTACAAGAAACAAAGTAACAAGCTGAGAACCTGGTCTGACAAACAGAAGACTAAACCTGCAGAAATGGAAGGTCTTTCATTGCAAGCGCATTAAAGACTGGAGAAACCAGTGCACATGCAGATAAAATAATTCTGACAAAGTAACACGGTAAGACAAAAGGAAAACTAAACTTCTGGAGAAGTTTGTGATTCATAGCTGGTTATTAAATACTGTTTGTCATTAACTACTGCTCAAGGTATGACCTTTCCAGATTAATGAGTTCCACTGACATTCATTGCAATTACAGGATCTAATTACACCGAGGAGTACGTTTGACATCTGTCATATCAACTTGCACTAGTGTTCAAAAGCGGACAGACCCCTAATGTACTCCTCCTAACATAACAACTCCAATTTTTGAAAACCGTCAAAAGAATTCTCCCTTTTATTGCTCTTTTATGAGAAACAAACATAAGGTCTAATTAACATATGGTTTCCACTTAAAAATCCTACTTACTGTTTTACTCTAGATACGTATAGATTCTCCTCCCTTCAGAAACATCCATAGTCAAAACTGATTAAAGTTTCTGTTTTTGAACTACCCCTTTTATGTCATGTGGAAAGGCTAAAGCGTCATAAATCCCTAGATTTTAGTCACAGGAGGATTCCCAGGAACAGAGACCAGAAAACCCTAAGTCATCTGTTATTACATGCCCCCCTGCCAAACACTCCTATATGAGACATCCCAAAGTTGGGAAGGGCACGTAGGGAGAGAGGAGAAAGCTCAAGAAATCGTTAACCTCCATGGCAACCATGTAATTTGCTCTTACTTTGGCCCCTGACATAATCAAAATGATCTGCTGGCAGAGATACAGGGTAACCAAATAAAAGGGTGTAACAAATTATTTTTAAAGCTTCTCTTTCCTTGGCTTGTGCTCTTGCCACCAGTGGTATCAGGTCATTTACTTCATGAAAGGATTGGAACTGAAAGAGCCTTTGAAGGAGAAAGTTTGGACCCAACGTTACTGAAGCTGAAAAAAATGCAAGCATCCCAAATCTGCAAGCCTAAATCTGCAATATCTTGAAAAAGCAGCATTAGACGCCACAGTTTTTTTGCCATTTACACTTTCAAAAATAGCATAGAAGACATGATGCCGCTAGACATTGCCATTTCACGTTTGTGAATTTTGAAATACCCATTTTAAACCATGAGGTAACTTCCAGTGAAGTTTTATCAGGTGAGAAAATAAATGCATTTCCTCTCTAACTTGGTTCTGTCAATTAAATTCTAGATTCAGTAACTGGAGGAAAAAAAAAAATCCTTTGAGCAAAACCAGAAGTGGGCAATGTAAACTGTTTTCCACAGAGAAGATGAAAATACTAATAAAGTAGTAACAAAAGCAATGAATTATACAATTTAGAACTGAAACAATGGGAAACCAGAAAAATATTATAAGTGATGGACATGGTCCACACAAACAGGCATGGCTGGCAATTTAAGAGAGATGCCTTCTAGGTGACTAGGATGGAGATTCCTTAGCCTAGTTTAATGAGAGTTAATTGTTTTTAATGGACATATAACAGCTTTAGTATAGCTGGTCATTATTTTTACCTACCTGCAGCTATCCTCTTTACACAGACTTACAGTCCCTGCCTCCCGCCCCAATGGCATAGGACACAATGGAGACACAATTGAGAATTATTTAGAATACCACAATTGACACAATCATTGCCCTTCCACCCCCCAGACAACCACAACTTCCAACAGTCATGTTCCATCAGGACCATTCTGAAACAGGATCAGCAAAGATCCCCTGACAAAAGTGCTATGACACTCCAGAGTACCTCTTTTTTGCCAATGGGTTTTTCTTTCGCTATCGTATACTGGAGGAGAGATACGTTTTCAAACTACTGCGCACTCTTCTCCTGTAATTCTCTATATTAAGTGGTCTTGTGATTCAGTGTATACATAATTTGACATAGCAGAATGCTATTTATCACAATTAATGTCATAACCCTATAAAGCACAATACAGTCAAAGTACTTAAAGCAACGTTTTCAACAAACTGTCTAATAAAATGCCTGAAAAGTACTTAACCTTCAAAACTGGGTAACTAATAGAAGTTAATTTTAATGATACTACATCTGAGTGCCTTTGCACTCCTTTTTAGCACGTCAAACAGTAGACTGGTAAGCAGTCCTGCCATTTATTATTTCTTTTACAGAAAGGAAGCTTTATTTAAAAAGACAAAGGTACTACAAGAAATATTTCCAGTCCAGTGTGCTCTTAAGCAGTTTTCAACAAGTACCTGATGAAAGAGTCATCACTGTAACATAGCACTGGATAAGTTTCAACTGCCCTTATCAAATAATTCAGCAGGTAAGTTGGTGAGGTGCAAAGAAAAAACTGTTTCACTTAAAGAAAAAAAACAAAAACACAGGTAGCAGGCTTTAAACATGCAGTGAATGATGAATATTCACAGCAAGCAAATGACTTAAGCAGGTGAAAATGAAACTTCTCAGACATTCAGGACATTTTAGAAATACAATACGAATTGCATACAGCTGGTATTACAAAGAGCCAGTACACCATATTTTTGCCACAGCTGCTTTGTATTCTCAATTTCATTTGCTATTGAAGGTTGTACTTTAATCTTGAAACACTGTATTTTAATAGTTTACTTTCAGCTACTGCAAAAAATGCTTGTAAACATGGTAATACACTTTTAGAGTGAATGAACAATGCCACGTGAGCAAAACAAGAATGCTATTTTAAAGATTGAAATAGACACATTTAACAGTAACACTTTTCTTCTACTGGTTCTAATCCATCAGGTGAGAAATATGAACCGTTGCTAGTTTACTAAGTCATTATTTACTACTACAGAAATCACTTTTCTTCTTTCTAATCATCATCTTTCCTTATAGTGTCCCACTGATAAGTTACATGAAGGTGACCCCAGAAACACTGATTTTATTCTTTAAAAGAACTCAGATTACTAGGAAGTAGTATTGCAGGTCACAGATTTAGTCAATGTGCATTTTGCTTTTTATGCACTACAAATAGGAAAAAAAATTCAGACTGACATTGCAAACAGCTTTACATAGAGCTAGCTACCACTAGAACAGAGGTATAAAAATATGCAGCCTACTGGAAAATGAAATAATGAATTTTTGCAAAATACACCACTCTTTTCCAGATATACTGGAGGCACTAGGATCTCTCTGCTGCAGGTGTTTCATACCAACCTTTCTTTCCAGAACAAGTATGACTTCAAAGCAGCAGGGTTATGAAAGAATGAAAGGATGCAATGCATTATATAAAGGAATGATCATGTCCCCTGCTTATGAGGTTAAATAAATGAACATAATTAGAGAAAAAACAAAATGAAGTCTGCAAGTATATCAAAATGAGGCCAAACAGATAAGAAGACTTAAGACATACTCTTAGAAATTTTAAGCACTTGAATCACAAAGAGAGTAATGGATGGGAATGATTAATTGTTTGTTTGTTTGTTTTTCATTGCCAGACCCAAAAATAAAAACAGAACATGTGTGAGCAGAACAGAAAAAATAAAAGTAGTAGCTTTGTTCAAATAAATAAAAAAATAAACTGAAACCAAGCTCCCTACTCTTACAATGAAACATGGATATAGTACAAGTGTTGACATACTACGTAGAAGTTATTTGCTTGCTCTTCTTCATGTGCTATATAACACACTTCAAATTTAAGTAAAATGTTGCATACTATTCAGAAATATTTTTGAGCTAATGCTTTACAACTTAGTGCTATTAAATCTAACTACAGAGTTATATTTGCTGAATGTTGAAGTATTACATACTTTATCCTAGAAAGATCACATAAAAAGTCAACAGCAAAGCTATCTGTAAATAAAATAAACTTCAGCTGCTTAAGATTCCAGCTATTTAAAATACCTGTAGTTTGAATACACAGATATTTAAAATGAGTGGTTATGAATTTTGAAATAGTGTAATTAACATTGCTGACATTCAAACTGTTGAGCTCAACTGAAGGTTTGAAACAGCAAATCGGGGCGCAACGACCATAAACTGAACGTCACACATGCATTTTCCTCCTCCTTTTTCAGTTCGCTGTTCATATTCATGTACAGTGACTGGGGTTACCACGATCTCTTTTAAAGCAAAATCCAGCGATCCAGATTGCAAGGGTAGCAAACGTACATTTGAAGTTTATTTATGTGTTGACTGCCCTTATCATGTTGTTACGTTTGATACAATTAACAGAGTTGAAAGATCACTGTTAATAGTTCTACATAAGCTTCACAAAGCACACGGCTAATTTTATTGCCTAGGTATAAAACTATTAAGTTTTTTGTTTTTTTTTTTTTTAAGTTTTGTTCACCTGCAACTTATTCTGAAACTTCATTTCTCTTTGCAAGCAGGTAGGAGTCCGTTATTTTTATCTGAAATGCTAAACTGTGAAGCTGAAGAGTTCATATTATGCATTTTAGATTATCAGGGACAAAACGCTCCCATTCACAAAGTCATTTCTGATACATCATCACATCATATTTTGCTATCTCTGTGCATTCAAGTTTTATTCCAATTAGTTTGGAAGATTTTTAAGCCTGTACAAGTTCATATTTCTTTATTACTTAAACAATGATAAAAAGAAAAGTTAAATTCCAAAATGTAGGAAGAGAAATAAAATAAAAACATGACGTCAATGGAAAGCTAGTAAAATACACTATAGCCAAGAAAAAGATGAGGGAACTACAAGAAGAAACTAGCACAAAAATTAGGCTACAAGGACTAGTATGGGTATTTTAACACATAATTTTTGAGTCTGGCCTACATAATTTATTGCCTTTGACATCATTTTGCTTTCCCTTTTTGTTAAAAGTACATTTTTTCTCAAAGTCAGCAATACCTTTGTCTACCTGTCCTGTCTGGGAGACTGAAAGATAAAGGTCTGTAAGAGAGAAGAATGGAAAGAGCTAGAAAAGATCAGGAGGTTCGGGAAAAAAAGAAAAAAAGAGGTCCAACTTAAAGTCTAAATCACACGCAGTCGAACACTCCAAATAGAAAAGAGGTAGCCCAGGTTTATCTATAAAATTTTTAGCGGCTCTGGATAAAACCCCAATGACCCCTCCCCCAAAATTCCCTCCCTTAATCACAATGATCCTTCAGGTTTAGGAATATTGACCAGAAATCCATTCACAGATAAACGCTAAACTGTAAAGGTAGGGAAATGCATTAACAACAACATTTCTCAGGGTGGAAACAAGATTTCCTTTGTAGCCAGTCCAAGCAACAGAAAAGCTGAATCAGAAATCAAAGCTAGGCACTCCTCCAATATAACTTAAAACATTAATCTTTGCTGAAAACAAAGTCTTTGAACTGATAATGTTACTCAAATATTTGTGAATTAAATACATTTGATCATCTTTGCTAAATTCCAATTGAAACTCTGTTTAGAAACCTAGTAGTATAACTGACCACATACTTGATGTCAAATGGCTATGTTTTACGCATTAAGGGATAGTCAGGTGGATACACTACAAAATTGAAATCAGTTCTGAAAACGTAGCCCTGTCATAATTTCATCAGATTCAGCATTTCAGCTATAAAAGAAAACGCAATTCAACCTTAGCACAGCTACCTTATGGATGCAAGAACTATGACTGAGGTCTAAGACGCTAAGCATACTGAAACTTGAAGGCTGAGGCATATGTGGCAGTCCTACAAACTACAGGCTACACTAACAACAATTTCTGATTTTATTGTATTAATTTATTCTTTCTTTTGATTAAAAGTAGTTGAAAACTAAGAAGATTCACTAGTTTTGACTTCTTAGTGTCCTCCGTTCAAAAATATTATCATCTATTAAGTTATTACTTGTTTTGATTTATACAAACTGGATATGTTTGTATCTTGAAAATACATGTTCAGGAAAGATGTTGAAAGACTTACAGTTTTGATCGAAAAAGACAAAGAAAAAGAAAGAGCACTCTGGAACTTCCTGAGGATATATACGTAACAAAGGATCAATGACCTGAGTAAATATTTACCGGGTATTGTGAAGTATCTTAGTATAGCAGTTAACTGTGAAATTTGAAATAAACCATCACTGACCTCAAAAAACGCATTTGTGGTGAGCACATTATGAAACATTCTACTCCATCCCAGTCACCAGGTGTTTTAATTTATCACTGCTGCTTCTTTACCCTCTATAATTCATTGCTGAATCTAAAAGAACAAGTAGCTTTTTGCCTTGCATATGGCTATAAGCTCTATATCCTCTTTTATATTTTCTACCACCTAATTTTATACAAAAGGCATCTCACAAGAGAGAATGACTTACAGATGAATAATGGGAAACAGCAAGTATTGTGGCTGACTGCACTGAATTGATGAGTTCCAGATGACTAGTCAGAACTGGCCTACAGTTGACTTGATAACAATTAACATGATTGAGAATAAACACCTTAATTAAATGCTTTTAAGTAAAATTGATATGAGCCTAATATAAGTAGATCATAGCTGCTTAATTATGGGACTTTACGTTACCCTTGCACCTAACAAGAATATATATATATATACATACATAGGCTCTTCAAATATAGCCACAATTTACAAGAATATCACCAAACATTCATCTCTATGACCATCAGCTCATTCTGAGTTTGTGAAACATGTTAAAATGAACATTTTGGATATTTTAATAACTGACAATACGATCCTTCTGGATATATACTGCCACGCACATCATCATTATCATACCTAGCTTTTTCCTGTTTTTCCAACATGGCGTTGTCCTGTTCCTAGATACAGTTTGGAAGTTGTTTGAAATGGACTATTGAATTTATTAAAAGACTCGAGGTGGTGCAGTGTCAGACTGCAGAATTAGGAGAACAGTGTACATCAAACCACAAAAAAGCTGAAGAATTCATTTCTCTCTTGGTTTGTTAGATACGTTTAAGATATAGATACATTTAAGTTATAACTAGGAAGTTCTCAGTCTCTTCCCCTCATAGCATCTCAGTGTCTTCCCCTCATTTAGTTCACAGTTATGCCACCTGCAATATTTCACTCCACTCATCTGACCTCAGCTTTAGAAGTAGTCCCAGTTCTGCCAGTTTGTTCGCAAATTTGAATAATAAAAATAACCTTCCCAAAATAGATGATGTATTCTCTAGAATTACTGTGTCTCATCAACAAGAATCAATCACATACTTAGTCAAGGTGTACCAGCAGTATATTGGCTAACTAGACAAGCCTCATGATATTGAACAAACAAGTAACATTCTGTGCCACAGCTGAAGTAGTTCCAAAATTCTTACTTATTTCAAGTTTCTTTCCTAAACACAAGTTCACCAATATTAGAGACAGGCATTTTAATATCCAGATTTGCAAAATCCAAAGCTTGACATGCAATTACATGGCTATCTTGTCTATGGAAAAGGAGACTCCCACAAGTTACGCAAGTATCCCTTGCTCAGACTGATATGGGCATGTACAAAGTATGATCTTCTCATCTGAATATGCTCAACTGAAGACCAAAAGTCCATATTACAAAAATGGCAGAATTCATATCGACTTTAAAGGGATTAAGACTGGCTTTAATTCTTTCACATGTCCATTTCACTACAATTTATTATTTTGTGCTGCAATATTATTGTGACACTGAATACACTGCCATTTATTTCAGGTGCCAGAAACATACTAGCAGATAGGAGTATGTACTATATACACTTCAGTTCTTACCTAATTTCATTTAAATTTTATACTCACTAGGGGGTTCCAGCATAAAAAAAAGCACTAAAAATACGAGGCTTTCTGTAAGAGATACTTATAGAACTAATGATGTACTACAGCAATGAGATGCACTGCTATTAGGTTAAAAAATTTTAAAAAAGCAAAAATTATCAGCTACCCCTCAGAGTTTATTACACGTGATGAACGGCACCACAGACTAACTTAACTATACATTGACCATTTTTGGCATTATAAACAAGCAACTGTATATAGGATGGTATTAAAGGACAAACAGCGTTATAACATGCACTTATTATGATCATATTTTCAGATCAGACACTACACAGTGCTTCATTCTTACCTCAGATTTCTCTAGTTTATTTTGTGCATCAATCTGAGTGACAATTTCATTCATGTTGGTCTCCAAAACCATTCCACCCATGACCATTTCAGCCAATATATTATGGACCTAAAAAAGATTACAAGAAAATTTAAAAATGCAAAATGTCATACACACATCTAGACACTGATTCTTCAACCCAAAAAACATACACCCTAAATCACTTAATTAAGGTTAACAATTTCTTTACAATTATTTGAGTACAAAGCTCCTAAGAACTTGATGTTTCTTCCTCCAGTATCTATGCTCAGCGTTCTGCTACGATCTCATCAGCTTCACTTGTCAATGCTAGAAGAAACTTGAGCACCCATCTTTCTTTAGCTGTTAGTAGCTGTTTTCTCTCTAAGGACCATCAACGAGAGTTCTAATTAGCATCCACAACAGTAATACCTCTAAGGAGCAAATTCTGTGAGATTAAGCAAATTACTCACAAATAGATATGTACAAACAATTTTGGGCTAGATCTGTGAAGGAACTGAGACATCATGATGCTCACCCACCATAGGTACCAAGACTAGGCTCAGAAGCAGAATTAATACACCTGAGCTGACAGCCTGCACTACAAACAGGGAGACTTCAGCATCTTAGACTGGGATTCACATCCAGGAGTCAAACTGAAGGACCAAATAAACCAACAGAGGACATTAATGAAATGGATATATCCAAAACCCCTTTTCTCTGTCTCCTTGATTTGGGAATGAGAGCCTTGGTTCCCAAATCTCTGCTTCAGACTCTGTATATGCATTTTCTCTAACCATAAATTAAAAAAAAAACAAAACGAAGTATGCTTTCATATACTTTGTAATAAAAACCCAGAGTTAATGTATGGTAACATATGATATTTCAATCCCATCACAATTCTGAAAACAAGGAACATCTGATTACTTTTGTGAGCTAAAAATAGAGTACAAATAATCTGATACTTCGAAGCATAATTCTGCTATTATTTTGGATAGTGCTGTCATTTCCCTGTGCATCAAGGACAGAAGTCAATCTCTAAATCAAGCAATTGTAAAGTTGAGGGGCAAGTAGTCAAATATCAAAAAATTACCACATTTCCTGTTTTACTGACATACCTAAAGAACAATATGGAAAAGTTGTTCCCCTGATAAATCATTCCTATATTTCGGTAGGAAAATATCGCAAACATTTAGTGAGGCTGAAAAACTCTTTTCTCAGCCTATTGCTCCTGAATAGAGCTTTAAGAGTCAAATATTTATGAGAAGAACTAAAAATCCTTACTAAGCCACTCTCTTTCTTCTGGTAAGTATACACTACGTGCCATACAATATACCCAACTGAAAAGCATAAAATAAAGAATTAATTATCCTGGCTTGCAATGAGATCGTTTTTAAAGCTTAAAATGAGAATCAGAAAGGAAGATGCAAACATGGTAATATGATATTAATATGCTCTACACTGACAATCCAAACTCATTGACAGGAAACATATTACCAGTATTTACACCATTTTACTGAAAAGTTATTTTTACTTATTGCATAAGGAAAGATAAGGAAAGTTTCCATAAGGAAACAGTTTATAGCTGTACACAAATCAGAGTTAGCATATAGATAGAGAGAGAGAAAGAGAGAGAGTGCATGCACGCACGAGCACATGCGTGTACAAAACTAAGAAACCAAGTGGCCCATTGTGACAGGCTACCTGAAATATTAAATCCCAGAAAACTAGATGAATTTGCATTTGGCTTCAAATTTGCAAAGAATGATTTCTCAGACAACCCATGAAAGATACATTGTATTAAACAGAATCAGCCGAGGGGTGGGAAGCACATTGACCTTTGGGGCAATTCTCAATTCTACCCATATGGAAGGCTTGATAAGGTAGGCTGATGATATTAAAAAGTTGACTTAATATGCTTTTGATATCAAAAACAAAATATTAAAGATGTTGATACTGAAACCATTATAAAAAATGAATATTAAAATAGACAGGAGTGGAATGAATTTTGTTTCCTTAATGAAAAAGTTAAAGATAACCACTACCGTAGAAAAGATGGCATTTAGAAGATGACACATCTCTAACACTGGCGATGGTCAAAAAGATTGCTATTTTGAAAGAAGTCTGGCTAAAAACAGTACGGAATCAGAGTTTAACTTAATCAATATAACATTAGACTTGGTAATTCCTTAGAGAGACTATGGTAGAAGTGATCTGTTTTAACGTTAAACAAATTTTTATGCCTCACTTGATTTCAGTCATGCTCCACTCCAAGATCAGTGATGCTTTTAAGCTTCTACAGCCACTGAAAACAAAACGTAAAACCTATGAAGTTCTTTATAATGTAGCATTTATCTGGAGATTTTAGTTATTTTTTAACAAACATTTACTAAGCATGCATTTTCACATGCTATGCAATTTAGAATAGCTTCCCTTTTGTAATTTCTGCATGGGCAATATACTGACTTATGGCAGGGCTAATCAATAATTCATGTCTTTTCCTACAGAACTGAAGTGGATTGAATTGGATGAAGGTTTTTTTTTTTTTTTCTTTTTCTTTCTTTCTCACTAAAAATACTGTGCAACAGTGCAACTACAATCACTTTCTACTGACGATTATAGATTTGAACTTTACTTTATTTTTAAAAATGAAACGGGATCCAAAACAGCAACTGCAGTCCCCATCTCCAGGATGAACTTAAGGGGAGCATTTCTCATCTTGTTCTTTCTGGTAGAGCTGGGGGTGTCAAGGAAAAAGATCCCACTGCAACTTGATAAAAGCCCTAAAATTTAGAAGCTATTCACTCTAATGTCAAGGAGGGGGGGGGGAAACGAGAAGAATATTCCAATTGTTGAAGAATACATTTTAATGACTAGAGGATATCTGAAACTTCATTGACAGGTACAGATAGGCCTACATACTGGAGAAGAAACAGAAAAATTATGCCAGTTTTAGTGTCTACTTTTTTCCTCAAACATCTATAGGTAAGCAATTAGAGTCCTCTCAACACCAATCATAACAAGGATCAGTTTATCCTCTAGAAAACAACTGATATTGTAAATTAGACCTCACCTAGAATATCGCATCCAGTTTGGGTCCCCCAAGTGCAAGAAAGACATTGATAAACCAAAGCAAGGTCCCTGGAAGGCCCCCAAGATTTGGTTGGGGCAGGGGCTGGAGCACTTGCCCTGTGCAGAGAGACTGAGGGCTGAGGCTGGTGCAGCCTGGAGCAGGGACAGCTCTGAGGGCACCTAACAGTAGCCCCCAGCACCAAGCGGGGGTTACTGGGGGGATGGAGCTGGGCTCTTCTCTGTGGCTTGTGGCAGGAGGGCGAGGGACAACGGGCAGAAGCTGGGACAGGAGAGGGTCGGGCCAGCTGTATGGAGCCTGGCTGTAAGGAACCCTTTTCCCCTGGGGAAGCCAGGCAAGAAGGGTGCAGGCAACCCAGGGAGGCTGGGCAGCTCCCTGCCTCCCTAGGGGGGGCCTCAACTCCAACGGGACAAAGTCCTGAGCAACCTGGTTGGATCTCAGGGCTGACCCTGCTGTGAGCAGCAGGTTGGGCCAGAGACCTCCTGAAGTCTGTATTTAAATTATCCTACAATTTTACGATTAAAACATGCTACTTCATGGTGCGGCAAGAGTTATATTTTACACTGGTAATAAGCAAATGTTGCAGAGCCAGAAATTTGCTCTTTTCATTACAGTCAGGAAATGCAAATTTCTGGGAAAAGGTGGCTGCAGAGAATTACGGGCAATTTAAGTGTAATGCAGTAGTATTACTTGTGCCAAAGTATGAAAAAACTGACCTCATTCTGCTTCACTGTATAAGTAACCTACAATATCAATTACAGGGCACTGAAATTTCACTGGCACTTTAAAAATTCTTTTTTTTTTTTTTTTTTAAAATACAAGCAGGTAGAAGATACAGAGATACTGCCTAATAAATGCCAGTAAGTGGCCCAGTTGGATAACGTTAGCGTAAAACAGCAGTGGTGCAAGGTATCTACAGCTAAGGGCATTTTTCAATCCATCATCTGAGCTTGAAGACTACAGTGCTGAACCTTCAGCACTGTCTACTGACGTTATATCTCTGCCACAGCACAACAAACATCACTGGGCAGTTCAAAGAGCTTGTAAAAATATTATAGGAGCTTCACCAAGCTATGGTACAAATTCCAGGGAAGTTTTCCTTAATCTTCAGTTAGGAAGACAGTTTACTAACTTTGCAGAATGAAGCTTAGGATGAACTCTCTTTTCCTTATGAAGCAGACGATACTTCTGCTGAAGCTTTGGAAAAAATCAGCTACAACTTGTTTAACACGGGATAGCACTGGATATAGAGGCAGCACGCAAGGAAAGACCAGTTCATTGAATCTCAGCCTACAACGGTTGTGCACCAACTAACTCAGAAAAGTGAGTTTATTAACAAGCTCGAGAACATACTAATACTTACTTCTCAAATGTGACAAATGCTTTAAAGAATAACTGTGGCTGGATCACAGGCATACAGATGTCCAAGCAAATCTCCAAAAGTCTCAGAAAAACAATGTCAGTAACATTCATGTTCTCTATCATCATTTGGATTGAAATAGATACTAGACATACCAGACTAAACATACTTCTTAATTACACATACCTAGATAGGAAGCAATTCAACTATGAATTCCCAGCACATGCAGTAGCATCTTTGTATATGGTTTTTAAGCATGAACAAAATGACTTGGTATGACAGTTCAGGAAACAACTCTACGATAAGTGCTCTCTGATGCATTTTCTACAATAGGAAGACAAACATAAAAAGTCATGGCCTGGTTTGAGCGGGGAGATTGGATGACATGACCTCCAGAGGTCCCTTCCAATGTAAATTATTCTACGATTCTAAGTATGAAGAGGCAGCCTGAACCGTTTTACTATGTGTTAAAAAGAAAAAAGTTTTATGATGCAGCTGCTTAAAGAACATTAAGAAAATACCTTCCTTCATCTTCCTAAGTCATAAAGAAACTATTTCATCATTCCAGCTGCTAGTGTTTGTAAGAATTGCCTTATTATCATTCTGCTCTTAGAAAGTACTTTAGTAAGTATACAATCAAATCAAGGGACCATGAATTACGGCTAAGTAGACCTTTCAGTAGAACTACTATTGTCAATATCACATTGACACCCAAGAAGTTGCTTCATGAAATACGAAACTTAAAATCTCTATACTTATGCTCAAGCATACTTACAAAACAACATTAAGTCAGAGGCAAAATGCACTTAGCCTAGTAATTTGTTTCAGAAATCTGACCATTGACACTTAAAGAAATCATGTAAGAAAACTTAAGAGTACTATTTCTCCTGCTATAACCTCTCTGCTCCCAAATACCTCCAAGTTCAGGATTCCTGAAATACAGAATTAGTTGTATTATTGTATTTTATATTGTATTATTGTATTTTATAGTCCTTGTTGGATTTTTCTTTGGTTACAATGCCACACCACTTTTAAACCTATTTATAATAGTCCTGGTATCTATAACAAACAGTTTCAATGGAGTTCCATAATCTGAGTTACAAAAATTACATCTTTTTCTTTGTTTCAAGCTTACTTCCTGCAAATTCTGATAACCCCACTGTTCGCTTCTCATAAAACGCAACTGTTGTTCTTCATCTTCTCCAGGTCCTTCAACACTTCTGTCATATTTCTTCCTTCTCTGCCTTTAAAATCTTGATTACTTAACCTCTTCCTCCCTGTAAGCTGTTCCGTACCTTTGATCAAGCTTGCTACCCTTCTCTGTATTTTTTTCCTACTTCTAATATGCAGAACGTACTACGCAGTTCTAGCATGCAGTATTTTAAAATGCCTATAAACAATGGATTGACAGTGCCTTAATGAAATCTTACGTCTTTCTCCATTTCTCTTCTAAAGGAATGCTTTTCTAAATAATACAAGGAAAATATTTTGAGTTGTTCAGCTAGCATGAAAGGAAATCATGACTACGACCAAAAATATGATGTAAATATTGTAATATGTTTACTCCTTCCCCTTAAATATACTATAAAACAAAACAGTAATAGCAAAAGTCTGCCATGCGAGCAATGGCAAGATTAACATTTTCAACCATTTTTTCCTCTTTTTCACTGCAAATGTATTTTATATTACCAAATACATGTCACTTTCTCTATTTTTTTCTAATTAAGTACTTCACTATGTATTCTCCTCAGGAAACAGGAAAGTTCTCTGAATTAGAGAGCATTAAGTGGCAGTGAAGCATAAAATACCTGTTTAACTGTAAAGACTGACAGCGCATGGAACACACATTTGACATTTACATTCTAAAAGAGATTACGCTGCTGAGAACATCAACTTCTTAAAAACTGAAATTGCCATTTTGCAATAATAATTTGAGGTACTTCTACAAAAGCAAGAGTGCTTCTTACTTCTACTCCATTCTCTGTCTAAGAACATGAATGCATGCATTAACAAACGCTGAGAAGGAATGCACCAAGAGCTCTCCCTGGAAAATTTGGCAGATGTATTTTCTTGCCTTCAAAACTTTGCGCTCTGATTCTGGAGGGTTCACTGTTCTAATCAGAGAATAAACTTTTGGAAGAGATCACAATATTCCCAGGGATACTTCAAGAGGTGCCAGGAACTTGTAGAAAAATAAAAGTATTTCCTTACATCCCTAACTGAATGGATGCCAGTATTTTATTCGTACAAGATGCTTATGATAAGCACCTATTATGTCTTTTCCTTTAGAAAGCATTACTCTGCTGGACTCAATGTGCGAATGAGTAAAGGACTGAAATAAGCCTCCTCTTCTGGAGAAATTTTTTCTCCAGTTACAGCAAGTCCTTTTTCAGTAAAGCTGATTTGGGGGGGGGAGGGGGGGGGAAGAAAAAAAAGCACCTAATTCTTTCCTGCACGAATTACTTCCCCTGGGCAAGCCCCCATCTGCTATGTTAAAAAACGAGCACTATCTCACTCCCTCCAATATTCCATTTGCCAACTTAATTTCTAGCAGTATACCAATATTATTCCTGAATGAGCATCCTTTTTGGCTCTAGGTTACAACGAGCCTTCACTGGGTCCTGCATATGGACAGCCGCCTGAGGAAGATAAATTTTTCCCTAACGAGGAAATGCCACAATGGTCTTCTAAAGAAGCAACAGTCAGACGGCTGAGTTTACACAGTTTAAGTCCTTTAGGTCCTAACCATTTTTTAAAAATAAAGGTATTTCTTGGGCTTTCTTAGGCAGTTCCAACAATGAGATAGGAAGAAAGTCACCTTCCGCACCTCCATCAAGCAAAGACGACAGACCAACTGACTGTCATCCAAACCAATTAGTTAATTCTTACTTCTTTCAACACCAGACCACTCAAAACACATCTCAACTGTTTCACCACAAAAAGCTCCTGCACATAATTAATAAGCATATACTGTAACTAAAACTGTCGATACCAAAGACCCAGAAGCAATTGCTATTTTTCCCTATTGCACACTTGAGATCTATCAGCAACCTAGGCGACAAACATTGGATGAAACAAAGTTACCATATGCTAATACAGAAAACTCAAATATATTCTGCTTTTCGGCAAGGTGACTTTAGCAGCATTTTAGAGAAGACTGAAATTACAGCTGTAATTTCATTCTCTCACACACACATCTTCCTGGTTTTCTAGAGATTTATGAGAACAGCAAATAAACTTCAACTGTACCAAAACAGAGGGTTTTGAACCTAACTCATAGTATGAAGCAAGTCCTACCAATCAATTATGCTGAAAAAAAAAAAAAAAACAGAACAGAAATGACATCAGATAAGTCAGAACTGCACAACACTATAATTCTTGATGGTAGCCCTGCATTACAACAGACGTTCGGCTTTCCATGTTGTACTCTCTTGCAGATTTACATACAAATAAAATCACTGCACTGGTTAATGCCATTTTCAAAAACTTTTGAGCTCAAGGTTGCACTCATCCTTCATTTTAGAAATGGGACACTTTTGCTAAAATATCTAATGAGGGATGTAGAGTTCTCATTTTGGTCAGTTTGAAAATTGTAGCTTGAACATTTAACAGCATTCTCATGTGATGTTTTTACTAAATCAACTGAAATACTTTCCATGTTGAAAACCATTTGTCAAAGAGAAGCCAAAATTTAAGAAAGTATCATCTTGTCATTAGTAATTTTAGCAGTTAATAGCTTACCTAATACCAAGTGAAATATTCCTTGAGAAATTTACTTTTTGGAGCACCTCAAGTTACCCGTAAGAGAAATATACCCCTAATAAAAAGTACGGTGTAAAAAATTACCCCTGTTAAGGTATGCCATTGAATGAAATATGCCATAGAGCAAAAGCTTTGACTGCGTAGCAATCACAAATGTATTCTGCAGCTAAGGACAAAGATCAAATTCCTTGCCACATAAGGCCTCCAAGATTTGGGTTCTCTAAGCTCAGAAAGTCATTTTATGAATTCTTTTGAACTTTAATCTGCGGTTTTGAAAACAGTCAAAAGTGTAGTTTGCTTGGCTGAAAATCCTCATGACCTTTCATGAACCTGGTATCAGCTCAAACAGCTACTCAAGATCACTAGCACTTCAGCGTCTGGTCAAGGTACGAGTGTTTCTTCCTTAAGAATTTCTCCAGTTCCATGCAAGTTTGGTCAGTTTCAAAGCGTTAATTTCAGATACTGAGTATGTTACTATTCTTAATCCACTTTTGGTGATACTTGTCTTATTTTCCTTTCATGTCTTCTCCTGTTGATGCAAAAAGAGGTTCACAGACGGGGCAAGCGTCTGTGCAGAAACCGAGAGCTGGCACAAAAGGCAGCTGAAGGTATGAAAACATTATCTCTGTACTTTCAATTCTTATCACTTAGGTATTACTTACAGTGAGAGGTGGCAATGTCCTTCTAAATGAAGGATTACAACAGTAATAGCTTTTCTCTGAACTAGATTAATAAATAAGACACTTATCCCAGAAAGCTGGGTATATTCAAGCAAGACTGTATTTAAATGTTTGAAAAAAAAGACATAATGTCTGTTTGAGATTTAGAAAAGAAAGCTCCGCACAGCATCCAAGTTACATAATCATAGCATTTGAAAGGTAACGGCCAGATTTAACTGGAAAAACTAACAATTTCAATTCTGAGTAACATAACACCTAAACATAAACAAAACAGAACAGATTTCTTGAAATCAATCATACTCTGACAAATAAATAATATTCAGATGTCTCCAATTTTACAACTATTTATGCAATAACACTGCAATAACACTCCTAAACGCATATTTTTCTTTAGAAAGACAGGTTCCAGCACATGTTTCAAGTTTTAAAAACAGTATGCTGATAGAAACTGTCTAGATTTCACTGACAATAAAAGTAGGATCAGTTGAGTATCACTTGAACTAGACATTTTACTTGACAAGAAATTTTACAGGAGTTCACCACAGTACCTTGTCTACATGGAAAATTAAATCCAGTTCACAGACATTTTCAAAACATTTGTCTAGTGTTTCCACGAATACCTGTAAAGAGGAAAAAAAATCAAGGTCAAGCTTTAACAGAAACTCAATTGTTCCATTGTGTGTGATGTTCAATAAAAACAAATAAGGAAAACAAACATCATGTAGTTTTAAGACATTAAAAGCAGCCACAGAAATTATGTGGTTAACATTATTATGTCAATAATATGTTATTTGTAGTCAGTTGGAGAGTGAGAAATTGTATGCACACGTTATTTTATGTTATAAGTTTGCTAAAAGACAAAGTTTAAAAAAATAAGTTGCAGCTTGAAAAAATAGTAACATAACTGTGCTACAATTTTCACAGGTATGATTCACAGCTTTCCTTCTCGTTTCATTAGAACCCAATTATTAAGCAAAAAGCTGTCATTACTACAGTGCAGGCATCTCTGTCAACCAGTCTACAGCTAGCTTTGCCACAAAGAGACGCCCGAAACGGCTCCATACAAGCTAGTAGTGTTTGTCAGCATCACTGCTCCTGGGGACGGATCAGGGAACAGTACAGCAGCTTCCACTTAGTCTAGACCTGCCCAGTTCAGGAGGGACCAAGGAAAAGGCAGCTTAGTATCACACCTGCTGATCCTTTCAAGGGTTTACTTCAGGCATGCCACCACATAGACACAGACAGGTCCAGCAGTTTGCACCCAGTCAAATAACCCCTCTTTGCATTGCGAATATAAAAGTTCACAAAACAGAAAAATCCAAGCAACTGCTACAATCCAGCCACTGATGATCTCTGCAGGATATGGGCTATGCGTTATGCTGCTCTGGTACCTCTGTAACACATTTCTTGGTGCACAGTTCTAGTCCATTAACTAGAGCACCCGGGCCCCAGTTAAGCTGGATAATGAAAAGATGTCTGTACCTGCATTTCCTGCAATAGTTCCTACGAAGTTACTACATTCATTATTAATCTACGAATATGAAATCAAATCTGTGCCTTTATTCTTTATTAATCCAGCTTCTTCACACACATTTAAAAATTGTCCAAGGTACCCAACAAACTCTAAATGTCGAATCAGTTATTCTGGAAATAAGCCTCTGTTTTGGAGAAAACAGTACAAAATATGCAGTACTTGGTAAATCATATGATAAATTTGTGTCCAGTTTGCAAGGAACCATATCACTGGGATATTTAACAATATGAGGAATAGGGCTGATTCTGTGGCTGCTAACTACTACTACTAATAATCACTATGTTAAAGTCAAATTACATCAAACTGATTTTCAGTGCATTTTAAATGAGGAGTACTCTTTAATATCAGTGCATAATTTAAACTAAGAACACTGAGCACTTTCATAAGCAGACTCAAGACAGTAAGGGTCACTGACAACAATTCACAAAGTAAACGGAGGGGTTTCCGTTAAATTTTACTGAAGCTAAACAAAGCAGAACTTTTTTCTTCAAGTAGTTGTTAATTTGCTGTGACAGTAAGAGTCTTCTATAAACAAGGGAGGTGAGCCAATAAATAAATCACCTTAAGCAGCACAAACTACACAGTTCACAGTTATGTGCAGCAACACTACTGACCAGAGATGCTCTCTTACTTTCCTTGTACCTTAGCAGAATGTGGATACAAGGACAGTGCTGCTTGACATTAGCTGCAGGAAGAAAGTTGAAAATGCAGGATAAAGGTAACCTCTATCTAAAGGCTTCAGTTATAAAAGTTGACAGTCTGAAAAGAAAATATTCCTCATACATATTACTAAGTTTGCACACAGAGCTATGTATTCTTTGACGTTCAGGAAGCGACTTGAAAAACAAAGTTACATTCAAAAAAAAAAAAAAACACCCTTACAAAAGGCCCCTAAAGAGATGCGTATTTAGTAGCAGTGTGTACGTCCACATATCAAAAGCACTTTAATTTTTGTGGTCTTCTTCCAGCAACTAGGACTTCTGCTATAGCATAAAGAACACTTGATTCATAGCTAAAATGGTGATTTTTTTAAACCTTTACCCGTTACAGAGTGAGAACAGTACACAGCTTGCAACTCTCAGATCTCTTCCTGCAACGCATGACCACCAACGCACGCTGAACATTTTTGCAACATAAGGGAAATCTACCAGCACTAAACACTCTTCAGGTAGAGTTTTCACCAACTAAAGATTTCTAATGGAAACCTTTGAAACTTCCTCAATCTTCCGTTCACGATGGAGAGCTTGTCCAGACCAACGGCAACGCTCATATGATACAGACCTATTATGAATTACTGGTCTTTAAAAGCACTAAACTTCATAGCAAACTGCATTTTTTACGCTAACATTCCTTGTTCTAAGACAACTCAGAATAATTGATGCTGTACATAAAATTAGAGCCACTTTTCTTCCTTTACAGGTCTGGTTGACAGTCAAATAATTTCCTCATTATAACAAGCTGCACTAAAGCAGATACAGAATGTAAGTACTTCAGATGTGTCAGATCTGCAGATCAAAACAACCAGAAGAGAAAACACACCAATTGTTTCAGGAAAAAAGTGACTCACAAGTTCAAGTGTACTTTGTGATGTTGTCAGACAGGGCAAACCACCAGACTGTACATGAAACACAAAACCACAATCTGAGAGACTGCTGACTTTCTTGACTACACTAGTGATTTTTCAACTTTCTCAATTTTTCAAGAACTTCTAAAAGAAAAATAAAATTAACAGTGGAAACAAATTCTAGTCCAAAAAAGAAAAGAAAAGAAAAGAAAAGAAAAGAAAAGAAAAGAGTCATCTCAAACCAAGACCGGGAAAATAAAGACGCAAGAGTAAATTCACATTCATTAAATAATTATGAAATCAAAGTGAATTTCTAGCTCCCCCTTGTGCTTAGTTTTTGAAATCATACATTCTTTCACAATTTGAAGAAAACAAATGCACATCTACGCACATCTCCATGCAAGTAAACAGGGAGGGAGAGTGGGCTTCCTTTCATAGTAAATAAACTTTAGCAATTTTTTTTTTTTTTAACTGGAGAGTAGAACATAAGAATCAAAAATATCCAATTGTTATTTGATACAAACACAACAACAGAAGGCAGGAGCTCACTGTATTCCGTAATATGTCAAAAAATTTAAGACACCACCTTTACCATGCAGAGCCTACTTTTTAATTAGGCAAATACTAAGACAAAGGAATAAGACACATTCAGACAGGGAAGATAACAAGGTTAACTGAAAAAGCAGATACCTAATTAAATGCATTCGACGCTATCAACTACTATCAAATACTAATAAGAGCAGGTGCAAAAAACAAAGCACGAAAAAAGCCAGGCATGACTCAGGTCAAGAAGATCCCATCCTCCTTTCTAGGCTAAACAGCCTAGAAGAGAGAATTAATTCAATCTGCCTGTGGAAGGTCCTCCCTTAACTGCTTTTTGCTGTTCAAACACTACCTGACACTCCAGCTAGTTTAGAACATAGCAGTCTCATAATACAGCCAGGTCTCTATACACAAGCCTGTTTTCTCTTCTGCTCTGAGGGCACCTGTGCTAAGGTATCCCTTGCTTATCATCGCAGGCATCTGAAATCAGCTGCAGCACTCCCATGGCCTTTCTAATTGGGAAATCCTTGGAGTAGCCACTGCCCTTTCCCACACTTACACAGTATGTTGTAAAACAACAAACCTTGGCACCTGATATCGCATCTTTCTTGCGATAAATTTAAAAAAACAGCCACTCAGATTCTACAGATCATACCTAGATTACAGCGCAATGGAAAGACTGTAAGAGTCGCTCTTTTAGGCTGATCAATCAAAATAGAAGTGTGTTAGCTTTCCAGGCTAACACTTTCAAGGTTAAAATGCCATTTTTACAATTTAATTAGCATAAAAACATCTCTGGTCAGGATGATATATCATTAAGAATTGAGAAACCCACCTTTCAAAATGAACTGCACTATAATTTCTATACACACCTTAATGAACCACAGCAACTTGCAAGGTTATCCACAGCTTCCCCAGGAAGACAGTGATCTCACTGATTTAGCTACTAATTGGGACAATGTGCCTTGAAAGTATAGCAATGGGTTAAAATCTTTAAAAAAATGCTTAAGTTGATGTACGTAGTTAGGTACCACTGCAAGTTTCATTCAGTTTTTCCTTATGCCAGTCTGCAGCTATTCAGAACTGCCTATGTATTTTATTTCCATGTGTTTTAACGTTACACTCCATAGACACTTGGGAGGAGTCTGAAATAGCTATAGCTAATCACATAATTTACACTGAACCCAAAAGACCGTAAAACCTACCAAGGATGGTACGCATGCTGACCTGTCTCCCACCCAATTAATTAAAACCAACAACAAATAGAATCTTACAAGTGTTTGTGTTAAAAAAGAAAGAAAACAGACAAAAATTAACAGTGGGAATTTCCTTGAGGTATTAAGCCAAGTTCAAACATGTCTAGTTTGTACCCAGCAGAAAAACAGAGAGCCTCTAACTTGTGACAAACAAATGCAGCGCATCTATTCAAGTCAGAACCAAGCTCTGACCTAATGGTGACGTAAGAGGCCTTCCCAGAAGTATTCCAAATATCACCTCATACAACAAAAATATTATGCTGAAAAGAACTGCAGGCTGCCATATGTAATCTAATCTGCTATGGATTTACTGAATTTACAAGAAAGACTTTCTACATGCTAGATCGAGTTGCAGGTTGATTTCACTACTTTACTTTCAGGAAATCATAAACTGACCCTCTAAATAACCACTTCTTTAAACAATTCAATATATGTGTGATTCACAACAAACTCCAGATGGCTTACTCTTAGCTGTGTTGACTGTGAGTTACAGTAAACAAAGATGTATGAAGATGCAGCAACAATTCTGAACACGTAAAAACAGCAAAGCTTATTCACTCGAGTGGATGTGTATATGCATATGGTGCCAGTCTGGGCTGCACATGGGGTTGAAATCTAATAATAAACTTTGAGAGCACTTTTCCGGTATAAAATACGTTTGACTGCTATTGCTAAGAGGATTCAACAGATCCCTCCTGTGAGCCAGACTGAAAATTAAAAAGGCTTAATGGATCTCTGTATACTTTCAACTATAATCAAATGGTCAGCCTACAACGACTGAGAGAACTGGGAACACTGCAGAGATGCAGGCACCATGGTGACACTGTATTTATTAATTTTTTGCCACACCTTCCTACACTAACAACAAACTTCAGTTAAATTGTTTACATACAAAATTGAAGTTGAAAATCACTAGTGTAGTCAAGAGTTCGCTTGACACAGAAGTGTATTATCAGACACAGTTTTCCTTGCTGAACTGGTGCAGACATATTTACCACCTTAAGTCATGTATGCCTCAACAGCAGGCAGTACAGCAGTATTTGCAATCATTTGCTAAGGCATAGATGACTATAAGCTCTTAAACCACAACGATGTTTTGGAAAGTTTTATCCAAAGAGGTATTGGATGTTTTAATCTGCTACACAGACACGTATACATATGCACACACATTTACTACACAGTGGCAGCTTTATATATCAAAGCTCTCATAATCCAAACTTGTCTTGGTGAACGTCTGAACTGTACTACGTTGACGTGAACACTTCTAGAGCCAGAACAAGACCTTGCAAAGCTGCAGCAAAAAATGGATTGTGAATGCTCGGTAGCTTCCAAATGAACCGTTTTCTTACTTCATCATCAAGTTGGGAAACAACTTTTTCAGGGGAAGTCCAGAAAACTGCAAACTATCTAAAAGTAACACTCTGCACATTGAGAGGAACCATAGTATGAAAATCACTTTCAAGAAGTTCAGAAAAAGACAATGCTAAATATTGAAATTCTAAGGTACTTAGGAGTAGAATTCCACTTATAAGAAAAACAGAACACTTACTTGTATTAGGTCTAAAATGCCAAGCTCACTTTCTGAAGAATCCACACAGAACACAAAATACAAGGTGGCATAGTGTCGGTAAATTAGTTTGTTGTCAGATCCACCTATTAACCTACATGGGAAAGGAAACAGGAAAGCTTAGTCGGCATCTCAGGATAAGCTGGGCAAACCCCCAAAGTTATTTCAGTTAATAGGAGGCCTATTGTTAATGGCTGGAGCTTCCCCAAATCCAACTACACAACAACTTTTATTTTGTGATATAATTAAAATGGAAGAAAAACAACAAATCATCAAGATAGCCCAAGTCCCATTTACCACATAAGCAAAATTATTGTTATCCCTATGGATATTAGCTATGCTGACATAAGCACCTTTGTATTACAATCAATTCAAACAGATCATACAGGCCACCGTCCGTCCAAAAATGGTTATTAGATGTAATTCCATGACACACTAGCGGGCACTGTACAGACATTAATCTGCATTACTAAGAACAGACATATGCCTAGGCATCCTTCCCTGCCCTTCTCATAGAAGCTACCTAGAGAAGAAAAATTTAATGCAGACCGCTATTTGGATTAAAGAAAAAACTTTTAAATTGGGTTTATGGTGTGCATTATAACCAGGAATGTGTAACACTGTTGTGCTATATAGTATCCGATAACACAAGAAGACTGTACTCCAACCAATTGCTTACTGATGCAATGTTAAAGCGCAAGAAAATTTAATTTCTTCTATTGCTCACTGAGCACCAAGTTAGTGAACAAGAACGTAAGATCTCTAAGCAGATATGTACTTCTACTCTTCTGCTGTAGCCTTCCCCAAGGAGATACATATAACTGTACGAAGAGATGTTTTTTAGATCATTAACGTTCACTGTCAGCAGTACAGGAGCTGCTCAAATAGAAATGAAAGTATTTTGTAGCCTAGAGTAATATGGCTATAAAGCTCAGTTCTCCCTTAACACTGTACCAGAACTGGATCACAAGCCTTGTGGATAATAAAGCATCCCTTTATTTTTTCGCTTCAGCACAGGAAGTGGGGGCAGGGCATTACAAGGAATAATAGATCTTTTAGGATACTTTTGCTTAAGCGCTTCGCCTTGCATTAATTAAAGCTTTAGGGAGAAAACAAAACAAAACCTTGCTCCTAAACAGCAGCAATTACACTTAAGTAATATCAGGCAAAAAATATATATATATATAATCAAATTTATTTGGAAAGTTATGACACGCAAAGTTTCTTCTTTTGTGCTTTACCCAATTCATCCAAACGCTTCAGTACACAAAGTTAGCATATAGTTACTGCTGAGGCAAACTTTGGGCAAACTATAAAACAATCCCTGCTCTGAAAAAAAATGAAAAAAATGTATTGAAATGGCAACTCTAGAAAACAGGCAGCAGCAGGAAAGCTGGAATTGTGTCCTCTGCCTCCATTTTTTTTTTGTTGCACAGCTATGATTTTTTGAAAGCCACAAATGTCCTTCTGTCCTTCACTTCTAGAATTCAATCCAGCATGTTTCCAGCTTGTAACCACCCCTAAAACCAGAGTCACAGAATCAATAATCCACAGCTGAGAACTTGAAAGAGAAGGACTTTAGTAAAAATAACATATAATTAGGGATCATCTTGCTCAGGAAAAAGATAGCATAGCTGACATGGTACAGAAATATATTTAACCATGACTCCGCACACAGTAAGTTCAGGCATTAATACACTAGTTTTCTGCCATTAGAAATTTCCATTGTTAGAGATTATGATAGGACTAGATGTTCCATGTTTATACAAAATACCGCAAGTTTGCTCCATCAGCTGTGACCCCTTTTCCTAGAAGGTGGTTGTTCATAGCTATTTAGCCTTGATGACTAATAACCACAAATAAAATACTCCCCTATTTCAGAATTTCTTTTAATTAAAGCAAGACCACACTAACACAAGCCAATCAGAAAAAGACATGATCCATCAAAGAATATTTTGGGTATGCCTTCTTTTAAAAAAAAAAAAAAGAAAAAAGAAAAAAAAAACCACACACACAAAAAAATTATCCTTTATAATCTATACTTAAGAATAAAAATCATACAAAAAGCGTTAGCCTAAGTACATATCTAAAACATCTGGCCCTGAGACATTTTAGCCAACAGTTTTAAGTTGACCTTTACTCATAATGCAAGAAGGACAAATCAGCTTCAGAAAGCATTAAACAAGGAACCTTGGGAATGATCACTAACAGCTAACATTTAAAACTCAGACCGATCTATCTATACTAGCAAAAAAGTCTTGGTTAAAACTGCACTAGTTAGCGTATTTTAATGACATCTTTTTCCTAGTTTACACAACAAGCCTGAACTCTGACATAAAGGTAGGGGAAATCGTTTTATTGGAGACTGTCCATTCAAATTTTTGGAGCTCAAGCCTGAATACCAGCTACAAAATATTTCAGCTTTCTCAGTGGATAGGACCACTGCCAATACCTCTTAGAACGAGGCCAAAAATCTTTAGCTTGATTTTAAGGAAGCTGGTTAAGTATCATCTGCCTGTTTCTTCCCCACCTTGTGTCTGAAACGTCTGTATAGCCACTAACTCAATTATAGCAGTAAAAAAAAAAAATTTTATTGCCTAACTCAATTATATTTCCCTATACATCAGCAGTAAAGAATATGCATACTTAGTGCCGACATAACATTGTTGCCAGTGCATGAAAATATTTCATTTCAGGTGACAGGGTGCTTACACTACAGCTGTAAAAACAGTTATGCCACAAGTAGTACCGATAATCTTTGCTAGCTGAAAAATATTTGACATTTATTTTGAACTTTATACTTACAAGCCTCCTTCTAGGAAATTACAAACATTTTCATCACGTTTTGATACTAAATGGAAAGTTTCTCTGATAATTTGTTGCTGTGTATCTTCACTCTACAAAAGAAAACATGTTTTAATATGAATCTAAAATGAATTAATTAGCAATGCACAACACACATCACTAACAAATATAATGCAAACTATAGGAGCACCCTCAAATTATCAGATTTTGATGCCTTAAATCTGCCAGGCAACAAGCTGCACACCGTTTTTATGTCATTTCAACACCTCTGGTAAAAGGAGACATTTTTGCAAGTTAAATTGAACTAGCAGAGGAATAAAATACTGTGAAACAACCACGAAAAAAGTGACTGTTTTTAGGACGCTTAAACAAATACCAAGACTTAGAAATAATTACTTCAAGTAAATATGAAGAATTCTGAAGTATTCAGAAATTTTTATATCGCCACTGCAGGCTGAATGTTTATAGACATGCTTTGAAATTAGTTTCAGCTGTTACCACGGTGAAAACACTGCCTCGCAGCTTTTGGGGGGGGGGGGGGGGGAAATCATTCTTTTTGAAATAGGTCAAAATACAATGGTATCATAAGCACCATCTTCTTTTACGCCACTAACTTTCATTCTAAATCTTTCACTGATCAGAAACATCACTTCTAAAGTCTGAATTCACTGGTCTCCTACTAAGTTCCCACTGCGACGGTCCGTCTACCATCACACACATACACAAGCTTTTGCTACCCTTCTGGAAGCGTGGGCTTACTTTCAACAAACGTATACTCCACTTCAGCAGTCAAAAAAATGTACATAAAATTACTGAAATCCTGTGTTTATTTTATAGCACAGAGCCCTGAAGTCACCAAACGTAAGAGAAACTCCCCCGACCATCCGAGAGCATAACTCGGCATTTTAAACCATTACATGAACGTACGTTCCTTGCTAAAGTAGTGCATGTATCTTAAAAGTCACTTCCACTAAGAGTGCTGTCCCTTGCGTGACTGCTAATGAAATAAGGCTTGGTATCAGCCTGGTTTGTATTTATTCACCTTAAATTCATGCATTATTTTACAAACCAGCTCTAGAATACAGAAAGATATTTACAAAAAACATCAATAGAAGTAAATTGTTCCATGAAGCAGAGATCAAGCAAGTGCAGGGTTCCTTTGCTTTCATAGTCTGTGTTCCCTAAACTGTGCCTGCCTTCCTCTAATGCAGTAACCTCACCTTCCTCCCCATGTTTTCTGACATCAGGAAAAAGGTAACATACATCATCTTTCCTTCAGAAACTGAGACACATCCTTTTCAGCAACTGAAGCATAACTTTTGTATTCAGAATCTGCCTTTATTTTCAGAGTTACTCAGAAACTTGTTTTGAACTTTGAAATTATGGCCACAGGTGTATATTGTGAAACCTAAAACCACAGCACATGCGTCTTCCTACTTAATTGCTGAGAATTATTATTACTCTACTTAATTGCAAAGAATTATTAACCTCATTTTATCCAGGAGCAACTCTTCCAATCCTCTGCATCAGGTTGAAAAAAAAAAAAAAAATCACACATGTTCTATCAGTTTCGTGTTACCAAGGAAGCAAACGCATCTTTAACAGATCTGACTCAAAGTAATCTCTCACAAAGGAGGGCACACTTCCACTTGTAGAAAGAAATTGAGATTTGCCAATATTGAAGGCTGCATAAGTTTCAAAAACTTCATAAATAATTCTAGCCTATTGAACCCACACACAAAAAGATAATTAAGACAACAGTTACACCTGTTTATATACACCACAAAGATACAGAAAAATCACTTAAGCACAGTGCAAAAATGGTTTTTTGCAAACCAGACTACTAACTCTGGACAAGAACAGTGACGTAACTTTTAGTTAAATATATTATTTACATTTTCAAATTTGCAAAGTGTTTCCTTTATACAAGCATATTAACCTACTGTATGCACTGAAAGTGTTTTCTAATTCCAATGATTTAAACTGGAGTACAGTGTAGTCCACCAGAAAAAATTGATTTTCTCCTACCATTCAATTCTCTCCTTTCCCCACCCAAGACTTTGCATTTAATAACACTAACGAAAGACAAAAGTGAAATTAGAATGAAAACCAAGAATGAAAATGAACTGCCTCACATTCATTAACTGAGGTTCTATATAACGTCTTCATCTACTTATCCTACCAATTAACTGTTACCTTCAGACTGACAGTAAAAAAAAAAAAAAAAGAAACTTTTTTTAGTAATTTACTGCAAATCGGCAGTTAAAGTTCGCAAGAAAGGAATGGAGATGCACACAAGAGGAATGGACACTTATCAATATAGTGAGACTGCTTTATTTGGATTTTTAAATTTGAAATGGTAAATGAAAGATATCAGTGTTGTAACCCAGAATTCAGGAGAAAGGAGACAATGGGTTTACAAGCACGTATTAGCATTTCTCAGTATTGTCCTTCCTCTGAGAGAGGATGAAATTCAGTCACCCAGAGCAATGGCCTGTATCAGTTACAGTCCTTTATTAAAAGCCTGATAGTTGCAACCCGAACTGTCACAGTCCTCATTTCTGCTCAGATGTGTACCAAGTAAGACATAACCCTTCCAATAAAGTTAAATATGACTTTTGAAATGCCCAGAATTGTAAATAACTAGTTATAAATACAAATAACCAATAGCATTACTGAAAAAAAAATTTTTTGCTTATATAATTCCTGAGAAGCATCAGTTGTTTTCTTGCGTTTTATGTCCGAGGCCAGCCCAAGCAGTTTCACATGCTTGCTAGGAAACGCAGTACATGATTAAAACATTATCTTAAAGTCTCTGATCCTTGAATTAAGTCAACTGTTTTCAGTTTGTTTCTTAATACGCTGTGGCCACACTTTCTTTTCCTTCAGACCAAGCGCTTATGCTGCATTTTCTGAGCTGCTTTGAAGTTTGCTTTCTCCCACGTAAAGGAATATATTTTTCTAACTCACTACATTTTTTTGTGTTAGAATTATTTTTCCTCTCTGAAAGTTTTCCAAGGAAAACGTTCTGCTTACTGACCAATTACTTTCAAGGCTCATATAAAACTGTATTCTCCTCTTCCCAACTCCAGCACCTCCGCCACAGCGTGGAGACACGTAGCACTACATCAGAGACGCAGAGAGTTAGGCTAAAGAGCAGTACAGAGTTGGTAGTAGAGCTCCCACAAATAAGATCAGAGAACCTAATTTGCCCTTGAAGTAGGCTGCCTTCTATTACCTTCAAAACTACCAAACCCTAATTTCTAGGGAAAAATAACATGTGACAGGAAAGCAGCTTTCTTTATCAACTCGTTTTTGTCACTGAGATCACCCCGCAAAAAAATCCCCGCGCCTTCTGGCTTTCCACTCTCCAGGCCCGTGCAACTGTCTAAGCACAGCACCGCAGTCAGCGACATCAGCGAAGCCGGGGTAAGACCTGGAAGCCGCCTGCCA